ATTAAAAGGAATAAAACCGCACCAACGCTTTAAACATTTCAGACGTTACTCCATTTTGAAATTCATGGCCATCATTTAATACATTAAAACATGGTTAAAGCACCTGGATTTCAAACCGTTCTAAGCCTTAGGCAATTATAGAGAATTTCCGGTCAGCAATTTGAGTGGTTCAATGCATTAAAAGATTTTTCGGTTTAAGATTTTAGTGGACCACTTTTAAATCCCTTAATGCGTTGAAAATTCTTTTATGACATGAAAAACCCTTTTAACAATTGATTTTCTTATTCTTAATAATAATAAGAAAATCTGTTCACAATTAATACTCAATTTGTTTTTATCTTCCCATATTCCCAATTAATGTAAGATCCTTTCTTTGACACACCCAAAAATATTACAACAGAAGTTACTCTCTCAGTTTTAAAATATAGGTATTTGAAGAGAAAATTTTTTTAAAAAAATAACTGTTAAATTTTAAAATTCTAAGTCAGTATAGATTACTATACTCGTAAAGAAAATAATTACACTAAAAAAACAATTGACAATACATTTTTATAGTAATTCTTTATTTAAAATTTTGAAATTTAGTAGTTTCGTTTGTAGATCTTTTTAAAATTCAAAGCACTTACCCTTGTTACTCCAATAATTTTAATCTGGGGACCTTCGACAACATTCTCCCTGCTTACCTGGCGCGAGCAATAATGGACAAGGCGACATACAAAGATAATATCAATATTCTTATTCGTATACTTAAATCAATACTCCCTGTTCTACCTGTACAGGTAGTCCTCTTTATCTTACCATAAGAAATAAAATACCAAAATCATGTGGCTTAAATTATGCTCTTGTTTGTAAAGAGATTACATGGAAGAAGATAAGTAAAAATTCATTACAGAATAATAATTAGTTACCTATATTTAATGAAAATAAGAATGAAAAAAGTAATTTAAAATTTTATAAATATATTTATTTTTTTTAATATTTAAGAACACCATCATAGGAAAAATTATTTCTTATAAACAAGGAATAAGGGAGTAGCAAATACAGGTTACGATAACGTTACTTGCAACGTAGCTTTGTGACAAAGATGCCTTTATCCCGTAAGCTCCAAATCCATTCGGCGCAAACAATGCTCCCAGTGCAGTGATCCATTCCGTATGGAGAGATGCGGCAAAAGGCAACTGATTTTGTGTGACCTCGTCAATCCTCGCTACGTGTGTGTTAATTTAACATTTTGTGCTTCCTATTTGCTGCTGACATTATTATAAAATCACACATATCAATCGCCAAAAAAGAAAGAGACCCTTGTCTCTACGGATCATATATTTTTATGTATAAATTAAAGAGGTGGTCCATCGTCAAGCTTCTCGGTCATGAATTGTTAATTTCTCAACTTGCATGACAAATCTCTATTAATTACTCCTCTGTATAGGACTGAATTGTTGAGTTAATTTTGATCTTGGATATAAGACTTATCTCTTCTATTTATTAATTTTTTTTAAATTACTTCTGTAGATATCAAGTAAAAGAGGGATGGAGTATATACAAGGAAGGACTCAGAAAATTATTCACCCAAATTCATATGGAATACATTAATGTTGTAAGTTTTATGCTGGCTCAAAAATGAAGTGTGCCTAAGGGTCAATATTCAAGTCCTCATGATATAATTAAAAATAATAATTTAATTTTTCTCGAAAACATTCTACAAGGCCCGCCATCCTATTAAATAAGACATAAAAGAAATGCAACCGTAATTTCAAAGGAAAATTTCACAAAAAAATTTAAAATCACTCAATTTTAAATAAGTAATTCTTATAAAAATATCTTGTTATTTGTTAAAACCTGTATTAAAAATGTTAGAAGTTTAGTCATTTTAAACTTTTTTTGTCAGATCCTTCATAATTTTAATTGGAAAAATTCTTTAAAAAAAATAAATAAATAAATTACTAAATATTATGGTACTGGAGACGGGGAAAAAACTTCAAGTCGTTTAGAGTGGTAGATTAGTATGGAGCTTGTCTGGAATCACATTTAAAATACTTATAAATGTATTTTATATAAGTTAAGATAAAATCTTTTTTATATATTTATTTTGTATTTTGTAAATCATGATTGATAGCGCCGAGGATTTAGCATGGTCACATGTCATATCTTAGTGTTTGCATGGTATTGTGAGATGCATTGAATGCAAATATTTTAAATTTGGGTTAAAGGCAAAATATTTTATTTTCTCAAGTATATCTAATATCATAAAATATTTTATTATGTACCTAACAGTTTAAAATATTTTTTAAGCACATTAAGCATCTTAAAGTATTTTTAATAACAAAAAATATCTGATAATACTAGATATATCTAAAGAAATGCTCTAAGAAACTGAATACAAAAAAAATTACTTTAAAGTTTTGAAACCTTTTAATTTTGAAATATCCTATCTCGCCCACGTGAAGCTATGTCCCCAATTCTTAGGTACTTCGGAAGTGCCACATTGCCCATACACTATCCAATAAAATTAAGCCGCGTAGATTTCAATGGGAAGGAATGAAGAAGACAGAGACAATGTGCGAAAAATAATGGGTGAGGATTCGGCCACTTGTTTGTCCCCAGCGGCACCTCCGGACTCCAACTTACTTATTAAATTTACTTAATTTTATTAAATTATTCCTCTGTCCTAAATGGATAAGCTGCTTAAAATGTTAATTTTAGTTTTATGTATCGGGTCTTAATGCATTTGACATATAAACTAACATATAATTTAATACTGTTTTATCCTTAACATAAGATTTAATTAATTAATTTAATTAGATTTAAAAAATTACATAAGTTAGTTAATTATAATAAATATGACTTGATTTTTCTAAAATACTATAATTACTTTCCTTAACATCCCTCTTCGTCTTCTGTTTGATTATAGTTCAGAGAGTATCAATAAAAATAATTTAAAAATAATAATAAATATTGGAAATATGTATTATATTTAAGATCAATATTAATTTAATAATTAGGTCAAGTATTAAGAAAAAGAGAAGTATTATATAGAAATATTACAGGAAGGACACAACACATTTACTATAAATGAATCCGTTCCAATTGAACTAGTGGCTTTTACAGTAATAACCATAACTGTTACTTTTGTTAGTCCCCCCCCCCACAAAAAAAAAAAAAAAAGAAATAGTCAAACCAGAGTAAGCATATGGTTATGTCATTCAATCGAGGACACATGGCATTATTATCAAGACTAAATTATATATGTTTTTATTCCTTTAATTTTATAGAGAGTTTTAGATATTTTTAATTATTTAACCCTAAAATTATTTAAAAAATAATGATATTCAAATCTTTAATATTAATAATATTAACATATTAAGTTTAATTTATAGGACAATTTTGATTATTACAAAAAAACTATTATTTAATAGTAATTATTATAAGGTTAAAGAGCTAAAACTATAATTTTTAAAATTAAAAAATTAATCTAAAATGTTGTATAAAATTAAAAGACCGAATGCATGCTTTAACATATTATAAAAGATAACGAAGTTTCAACTCTAATATGATAAAAAAAAATATTTTGTGTAAAGATGCATCTCCTATGTTGATATTATTTTTTAAATGCGTCCGGCAATTTGATCTTATTTATGATACATTTGACATTTTGATTTTATTTTTTTTAGTTACATTCAACTCCTTATTCTTTAGGGTTCTCAGTGCTAAATGTATCATAAATAAAATTATGATGGCAAATGTATTTATAAAATAAAATGAGAGTGTTAGAAGCACTTTTATCCTTTCTATTTTTACTATTAAGTTACTTGGTGTCAAAAATATATGATTGATTAAAAGTTTAGGAAAAAATTAATCATTAGTTGTGAAAAATTTGAATCAATTAAAATTAAAATTTTACCTTCATACAATTTGATTTTTATATGAATTTCTAAACCTGAAAAAAAATAAAACTACCTGCTTTTTAAAATCTAGGAACTTAGAATTTGAAATATTGAGTTGTAAAGAATAAATTTCAAATGCGCTAAAACTATAGTGATTCTGCTAAATCAGAATTCAATAAAAAAATTTTAAAAGACTTTAAGAATCATTCATCAGGGAAGATTCTTAAAAGAAAAAGTTTGGATATATGAAATTTTAATTCAGGCTGAGGGAGGTAAGTAAGGCCTAAACTAAAATTTTGAAAATGATGTAAAATTACTCATTTGTCCTTATGTGACATAAGTGACATTAATAGAATTGAAAATGATAAGCATTGAACTAATAATTACAGATGTTAAACTCTAAATGGCATATTTCATAACCTTTTTTTGTTGTTCTCCTTTATTTTTAGTTAATTAGTTAATTAATAATCTATGAACTAGAAATAACAAGTATTGAAATGGTAAGTATTAAATTGAAAATTACAAATTCCATAACTTTTTTTATTTTACGTTGTTTTAATCAGTTAATTAACAAGTTACAAATTAAAATAATAAATGTTAAATTGGTAATAACAAATACTGATATAAAATGATAAATTTCGTAACTTTTTTTCTTTCTTGTAAAGATATATATGGGCAATTTCATAATATTTTTAAAATGTCAGTCCAGGGCTTACTTCCTTTCCTCATACGATTTTCCAAACTTTTATTTTTTGAAATTTAATTAAAGTTATTAGCTTAATAATAATAAATAAACGCAAGCCTAATCACATAGTTCGAAATAGGCGGAAGCCACGTGAGGGCTAGGCTGGACCCCTCAAAGCAAAGACGCGTAGATCGACTGTGGAATAACCACGTGTACGGACACGGTGGCGTTGGAATAAAATAAATGGCCAGCGCGATCACCGATGGGCCAGCTCAACAACCACCACACACGAACCACGCCACCACCGTATATACGGTGTCCATATACCTTTCCTCTTTATACGACACGTGTCTGGCGACGTGGACGTCGTTTTGGCGCTCCCCTCTCCTCCTTCTTCACCTCCTCCGGCCTCCCTTCTCCCTCTCGCTCTTCTTTCTGCCGAGGCCAAACCGAGTTCCCGCGGGCCTTTTTGGAGAGAGAAACTCGCAGACTAACCGCCTAGCAGTCTGAATTCCCTTCCCCGATCTCAATTTTTTTCCTGGAGTTTAAGGATAGTTTGCAGCGGCCAGGATTTTGTCTCTGTTCTGCTAATTAAATTTGCCCTCCCCTTTATTCTCTTTTCGCTTTCCTTCCTCGCTGCCTGTCGATACCATTTGACTGGCTGTCCGGCAGGTTCGTGGAATTCACTGCTTTCTTTTGTTGAAAGTTGGAAGATTTATATCCTAATGTATTTTAGATTTGGGTTTTGTTTGGTGAATGAGAAAACTCGCAATAGTGACGGTTCAGTTACTCTAGGTTCGTTTGTTTGTGGAAGAAATTATAGTAACGAGCGAATTGGAATGTATGGTAGTCTTAAGCCTCGTGTTTTAGTGAGCGTGAATCGTGGAAGAAATCTGAGCTGGGGAAAACTGGAATTTTCTTTGCTTCAGTTTAAGCTTTTTTCTGTGGAGAATCAAAAGAATAAAGTATTTCATGAATTTTTTGTAAAGTTCTTCGGTTTACTTTTAATTTCATTGTATCTCTGCAAATTTAGAAGACCAAACAAGGGATAAGAGTTGCGAGTACCCTGGATCTCGTTTTATAGCTGCTATAACTTTCGAGATTTTGTGCTTTTCTGTATGTTGACTTGATTGGATAACAGGGTAAGTTCCTTCTTTTCATTTTGGGCGTGTGGTAGGCCGCTTATGCCATTTTTTTTTTTTTCCATTTTGGACTTCAAACGGTTAATAGCTGAAGAATCAGGCAGCTTCCCCGTTTAGCCAGAAGAAGAATGGGATATTGGATCAGAAGGCGCGATAAACCATAATCTCAGGCAGTCAAGAGGTTCTTCAACAATCTTACTGCCATTTTCTGATCCATCTGAAATCGAACAAATTCGGATTGGAGGGTACTTAGGTCATTTAGCTCCTGAATTGTTCCGTTGGGAGCTAGGGATAGATTTTGTTATACCCTGCCAGTCGCGTCTATCACTTTTTCTTCAGCAATCAGCATCAGCTCGTTGGTTGTCAGAAGACATAATTAGCCCTCGCCTTTGACTGACTACTGCTTCTATGACTCAACCGTCGTTTGTTTCCCCCCTTGGGTTCGATTATGCTATAGCTTTCCATGAATACCACGATCCGTTTAGCTTGTTAATTTAAATAATTATCGTTCACCCCAAAAACAATGGTACAGAAAAGGCATATGTCGATGGGGTTCGCTATTGTCTCAGACAGACTTCTATCTCTAGATCCCAATTTCATTCCCTTAGCATATACTTTGATTAAAAAACCAGGATTTTTTTTTTTTAATTCTTGTCTAGTTGCGGTCATCTCGCTTAATCTTAGATACGTGACACCAGCTCTTTAGATGAACACGAGTAAAGATCGTCTCTGCTGCGTGAAGACCATGCTTGAATTGAATGCTGGAATTGTCATTCTATGCTGCTCATGATCTCATGTATCGTCTTTGAATAACCTGTATTTAGCAATATGTTCTTGAAAGTAAAAAAACTAAGTTATGCTGGTTTATGGGAATACCAATGATCGTCATGTTGAAATGCAGAAATTCTTTTTTACGAATATGCCTCAGTGTTTCTATGTACATCTAGTTGCCAATAGCAGCTAACATGGTTCTTATTGATGCAGCTGAATAACTTACCAGGAAGTAGCTAGGGCGCCTCTAAAAGTTGACTGAGTCAGTGTTTTCCATTTGGCGCTTATTAGCATGGGAAACAGTGAGGAAGGGAAATCAACTAAAACTGAAAAACCTTCTTCACCTGTAGCAGTGGTAAGCTGGAACTGTGTGCTTCCGTGTGCATTCCTTGATTATGAAGTTTGTGGTTAAATCTATCGTACCTATATTATGAACAGGACCAGGCTAATCAGGGCAGCCAGCCCAACATTCATGTCTATCCTGATTGGGCAGCCATGCAGGTTAACTATCATCCACCTTCGTTTCCTTTGTCTTCTAGTGATTGGAGTGTTTATTTAGTTCCCTGCTTAGTAAAATTCGCTGTAATGAAAATGAAGACAACTTCTCTTCAAGCATGTAGTATTTCTGTTTGTGGAGTTCTGCTCTTATACAGTCCTGCTCTTAATCATTATCTTAATATTTTACAGTTCAGAGAATAATTAGCCTCATTTAAGAAAGTGATCTTCTTCTACTAACTCCTGGCAAAGCCGTCAGAGAGCTTTTATTTTGACAAGTATCATTATCACCTTTTCTCAAGTGTTCTTTGTGGCTATAAAACATCTTCTCTATGGAAGCAATAAGAGAGTTCCATTTAAAGTTTAAACTGCGCTTTGCCTTGCATTTTTGGTGCTTTGTGAGTTACTATAAATCCCTGGATAGCTATGGCCTAACGAATATCAGCATGGACTTGTGCATTTTGGTCAATCTTTTCGAAGTAATCTATGGCGGCAGCTGTATAAATTTGAAACCAGTTAGAGAGGAAAGGGATGGAATATCCATGGTTCACGAAGGAACTTCTTGAGCATAATCTCCCTTAAACATTTTTGTAATTCTTATGGTAATTATTTTGTAATGTCCCTTGTCTTCAGGCATATTATGGGCCAAGAGTCTCCATGCCGCCATACTACAACCCAGCTGTGAGTTCTGGCCACCCTCACCCCTACATGTGGCCACCACAGGTAGCACCTGAAAATCATCCGTTTTCTTTTATCACGTCCATTCTCTGCTGAAGAATTTGAATAATATGTCAACTTATTATTTCTTGTAGCCCATGATGCCACCGCCATATGGGACTCCTTACGCAGCAATTTATTCACATGGAGGTGTTTATCCTCACCCCTCAATTCCTATAGTAAGTCTGCATTCGTGCAATTTATCTTGTGAGGTTTTATTTTTCATATTTTGGAATTTTGAATTGGAGCTCATATTCATTCTCTGGACATATGTTGGATGTGGTGTACCTAAATTTACGAACATGGGCTTTGAAAGGGTGAGAAATAATGGGCTCATTTGGAATAGCTTTTAAGTAGGTTTTCAATCATGATTTACGGAATATGAGGTAACTATGTGAGGGGACTTTTGTTTCGGTTTACGTAAAATGTACTTGTAAGTGTTTTTGAACACTATCCCAAATGGGCCCAATGTCCCAGGAATCATGCATACTTGGGGGCATTTCAGGTCTCAACCATCATTCTCCCCCATACTTTGATGACCTGACTGATGGAAACTTTAGTAATTAATCTAAGTTTTTGTTCCGTCCAAAATCTAATCTAAAATTCTCTGCCGTATATCATAGTGTACCTTCATGCTTCATATACCCTTAATTGGCAGGAAGTTAATACTTTTGGTTTGTGCTGATCTATCATTCTGGTAATATGTAGGGACCACAATCACATGGTCAAGGAGTTCCAACGTCACCTGCAGTAAGTTTTAATCTTCTTGGAGGTCTTGCCATAATAATAAGATATTTGAAGGTCATGAAATCATGACGGGTTCACCTTGGTGTGAACATGTAGGCTGCAACTCCTTTGAACATGGAGACACCAACCAAATCTTCTGGAAACGCCGATCAGGGCCTGATGAAGAAGTTGAAGGGGTTCGATGGGCTTGCAATGTCTATTGGAAATGGCAATGCTGAGAGTGCTGACCGTGGAGCGGAAAACAGGCTGTCACAGAGGTTTGTTGATTTTGTTTATGTATGTATATGTTTTTTCCTTTTTTTTTTGGGGGGGGGGGGTTGCTGGTGCTCTCCAGCCCAAAAATCTAGAAGATCGGTCCATATAAGTGATTGTTCTAAAGGCTTCAGTTGCTAACATAAAATTTTATAATTACTTGAACAGTTTGGATACTGAGAGTTACAGTGACGGAAGTGACAGCAACACTGCAGGGGTAAGAGTTTCCTTTTTTTCAACTATTAGTTGTTCGATCTATGTAGCTGATTCCACCCAATGATATAATACTTATTTTCGATTTGGTTTCAGCTACTAGTCTATTTTTCTTTAAAGAAGCTTAGAAAAAATTGCATACTAAATTATGCCTATGTTGTGGTCAGGCTAATCAAGCAAGCAGGAAAAGAAGCCGTGAGGGAACACCAGCTACTGGTAAGAGTGTCCTCCAAGAAGTCTTACATGTTGAAAAAAAAGTGGAGTTCTCCTGGGATCATAATTACACTTATTTTTCCATCACATTAGCGGCACACTTTATATCAAGCAGTTTGTTGAGTAGCATCTCCATAAATTGCATGCTATGTTATCATTCATGCTGTAGACGGTGGAATCTTACTAATTTATGACCTAGATAAATTTTATTGTGTTTGAGGTGGGTTTTTACCACCTGAGACGTGATGTAGTCATACTAGTGCTGTCCTATATGTGCTGTGCCATTAATGATAAAATGGTACAGTGTATGATAATTATTTACGATCACGTGGAGACGTAGTGCTATTGAAGTGCTATCCACATAATGCAGGATCTAACGATTGTTCTTTTCCTGATTGTACAAGCAGATGGAGACGGCAAAAGTGGGAAACAAGCAAATCCAGTTTCCAAAGGAGCTGGAGCCTCCAATAAGATGACATCAATTACCCCGGCCAATGTTGGAGGAGCAGTAGTTGGACCTGTAGTTTCTTCTGGTATGACAACAGCGTTGGAGCTGAGGAACCCATCCGTTCTTTCTAAGTCAAATTCCCCAAGTAATCCACAGCCTTGCGCGGTAGTGCCTCCTGAGGCTTGGATACAGGTATGATGAAGAAATAGTTCATTGTCTTGGTCTGACTCATTTAAAGGCATTTGAGCAGGAGCAGCACTTTAGAATGATTAAGCTGTGCTTTCTGCATTAGCTGACACTATAAGTACTTGCTGTGGATATGTTTAATTTCCCCTAGAATGAACGGGAGCTGAAGCGGGAGAGGAGAAAGCAATCAAATCGGGAATCTGCTAGACGGTCCCGATTGAGAAAGCAGGTATGAATGTTGTAGATCATCGTCAAAGCTTCTTCATCTGTTTGAAGAAAAACGTAAGCTTGCACGAAGGGGAATGTGACTAATTTCTCATGTTTTCCCTCTGTTCAGGCTGAGACAGAAGAACTTGCACGAAAAGTTGAATCCTTGACGTCTGAGAATATTACACTGAAATCAGAAATAAATCGATTGACTGAAAGTTCAGGGAAGCTTAAGATGGAAAATGAGGCGTTAATGGTACTATTCAATATTGACATAATATTTCTTTTTGCTTGCTTATCACAACATTAATGACACTGATTCTTGTGACGTTTTTGACACCCAGGAAAAACTGAAAAATGCACGAGGAGAAAAGGATGAAATCTTTTTGACACCGAGTACGGAGAATTTGCTATCCAGGGTGAACAATTCCAGTTCTTGTGACAATAGAACTATAGAGGGTGAGAACGCTTTGTGTGAGAAGAAGCCAAACTCGGGAGCAAAGCTGCATCAACTATTGGACACAAGTCCGAGGACTGATGCTGTGGCAGCTGGCTGATACCCAGAATAAAAAACAGTAATTGATTAATATATTAATATATTTGGTTCTAATCACGTGTAGTTTTGGCATATTTACAAGCCCAAAATTACTACTGCTGACAGTTGAATTTAGGATTTTAATGTAGCAAGACCAGAGCTGATTTCTTTTACTCATCAGTTTCTTGGAGCAGGACTTTTATTAGATTGGACAGCAGTTGATGACGTCTAAAAGTTTGTAAATTGAAGAGAAGTAGGGGTTTAGGTTAGCGGGGGTTGCTGAAGTTGAACTCTGTTATTAATGGTTTGTGTATGAATGATTGGTGCAGTACCACTTTTCATTCTGCTTAAACAGCATAGTGATATATTTAAGATGCGCCTCTTTATTCATTTTCATGCAGATTTCTTTCTGTAAAATGTGTTTTTGGTTTCAGAAATCAACCATGCCATTCATTACCCGCAAGCCCATAGCTCGCTCATCTAGGATCAGTTAGCAATCTTTAGGCAGATCCTCCGGGAGACTCTCGTTCATTTCCTAGGTAGTAGTTATAAAGATGCACTGCCTCCTGTCTGGAGGTGGTATAAATTATATGTTGTATTGTAAAAAATTATGACAAATTATTCTTGATGGTCAAAGAGTATCTCCATACAAGAGTAATAATGACAAAAATTTGTAGTGTGAAAAATAAAATTTGCAAGTTAAGCAACAAGCAAAAATAATAATTTCAATAAGATATCTGGTATTTTAGATTTTAAATGACGGTGGAAAAATTGTATTTTAAACGAAATTATTAAGAGGCATGAAACGTAGATATCTTTCTTAACAAATATGTGAATTTTAATTCGTTATGTTGTGACTTATGAGGGACCGATATTTTTTGTTAGGCTCAATTCTTCTCTGGCAGTCTTATGCTTTTTTTTTTCCCCCTCCTCTTTCTTTGTGGTTTTACACTACAAGGTGCTACTGCGATGCTATATATATATATATATATATATATATATATAAAGTTACCAATAAGAGTTAGTCCAGTTGGTAAGGAGTCAACTTATAATCCACAAGGTTGTAAGTAAGTACTTCTGTAAGCGTTTTATGAGCTTGGAGGCATGTTCTAGCTCTGGTAAGCTTTCAGGACCTAACTCACCCAAACTTTTTGTTACAAAATATATATATGTATAAAGTTTTAGACGAATTGAATTTTAGGACTCACTAGGACCAAGGCATACATCTAGATTCAAAGAGTGCTTAAAGGTACTTACAGATTGTCTTCTAACAATATTTTCACATTGACAGTAGGATTTGAACTTATGACTTTATGAGTTGTGAGCTGACTCTTTACCAATTGGACTAAGCTTTTATCGCGTACTGTTATGCTTTTCTTATGGAAGCAATTGTGCTCGTTTCAGATGAGCTAACAATTTTTTGGGGTTAAAACAAGATAAGAATACATAAGTCAACATTTCATATTTGGGTAGAAATAAAAAATGATTTTAAAATTAATTTTACGGTATATAAAATAAATATACATATCTCGATTTTACGAAAATTGATTTTTAAAAACACTTCCCCAATGTAGAGCCGGGAAACTAGGAGTATGGGTTAAGTCAGAGCTATATGGGCTCATCTGCCGGGATGTTTTTTTTTGTTGTTGAAAAAAACCATTTAAACTATGGTTTGATGGTAAAATGATATCTGTGAGCTTACCCAAAATTTGTTTTTTATACCTATAAGGCTTAGCCTACCAAGCACACTAGTCTGTGTTTAGTATGCGGATTATTTTTTTAAAAAAAGAATAACCATAGAAAAGATATTTATCAAAAAAATCTATTATCCTAGTTGTAATTAGGTGTGAGACTAATTTTTAGCATGTCAAATACACAAATATGACTTTTTTCCGCTGGAAAGGATTTTTCTATACCAAAGACAATATTAGTCTAATTATTGGGATTTTGTGGTTTCTTTATAGTTATTTTATGGGTTGATATGGGGCAGGTGTATCTTTGGGGATAACCCTTTTCTTGGAAAAGGAAAAATGGATAGCGGTTTTTTTTTTTGGGAAACAAACATAGACCATCATGGTCAAAAGTCAAAAGTGCTGCTGCTCCTTTTTTTTCCCCCGAAAAAAGAAATCATGGGACACACAGCTTCCAATTTCTATCGTCCCGATCTTACAATTAGAATTATTATTTATACAATAAAGGAGGTGTTAAATAGAATCAAAATTATAATTTTAAAAGTATTTTTACAGTATATGAGATAAATATGTGAAGAAATTTATTTTGATTTGTGAAAAAATGCTTTGCAAAAATACTTTTTAAGGTGTCTAAATACCCTAAAAGTCGGTCATGTTATCTGAATATTTTTTAAAATTAAAATCATCGTTCACTTTTCAACAATACTCTTATCATTTATAACATTTATATATAATATTTGTTCCGATTTTTTTCTCCTTAAATTTGAAATGTTGTGTTTTTTACTTTGACCAGCAGGAAGAATGTTCTGCTGGAGACTAACATTTAAACCGGGGCTAATTGATTTTAACATAGAAGCAAGATTTAAAATTAATAAAAAAGAGATCAAACACATGACATTCTAAATAAAGATAATTCCATGTACTATATAGAAGGTCGATAACATAAAAGCACATTTTATAAGTCGGAAGTCCCGAGTCAAACTTATGAATGAGGATTGTTAGAGATATGATATAAGAAAAATCAAATATGTATTGCATGTCAAACTCATACACACTAATATAAAGATCTTATATTTAGGACGGAAAGAGTACCTATCACTTGATAGCATGATAATAGACTCAAATATGCAATATATTATTACAAAAATATTATCAATGTACAGTATAATATTTATAATAAATTATATTATAAAAATATAAACAGCATAATTTGCTTCTTAAAATTTATGCCGTGTCTAACAAAGGGTTTAACAATTTATAAAAGATAAGATAATAAACAATAGAAAAATAATTCTGTCGCTTTGTTGCCCATGTGGTGAGACAAATGCGTCGTATATGATATGTGTACGGTCACCACTGTCGCGCTCGCCCATGTGCTTCCTCTCCTCTCCTTAAAATTCCATCTTTCTCACAAGGGCCCTCTATGTATTTTTATTTTTTTATGCTATCACCCGGTATCCAGTATTTTCTTTTAGATCATGTCATGATGAGTAACCAGCTAATGCGGTTTGGGTCAGTGGCTTCCCTTATTCACAAATGTGTTTCTTCGGATTCGAACTCGGACCTAAAAAGATCTGGTGAAACCTTAGACCTCTAGAACAACTCTTTATTAGTAACCCCCTCCCATATAATTACAAGGTCAATACAGCCAGGCTTGGTAATATAGGCTATCCTGCAGAATACGAGTTGGCTCATGATGGGTCGGGCTGAAAAGATTCATTTGAAAGCAAGTTGGCTAAAAAGGCCAAGATGGGTTGATAGGTTGGCTCGCGCAACACTTATTTTTCTTCTTCTTCTTTTTTTTTGAATTTTTTCTTTTATTTTTTAATTTTTTTCTTATACAATATCCAAAAATAATAATAAATTTTTTGTTTTTTTTTAATATTTGATTGAAAGAACCAAATAAATTATATAAATATTTTAAAAATTTTTTAAATAGGATATAATATATAATAATAATTAAAAAAAATTTAAAAAAATAAATGTGGGTTAACCCGCAGGTTGGCAGGCTAACTTGCGGCGGGTTGCGGGCTTAGCGATGCAGGTTAAAAAGGCTCGTTTATTGACATGTTAGTTTTTGAACAACCCTAACTTGCTATTTTTGGCAGGTTGGATCTGCTGATTCAACCTATATTACCAGCTCTAAATACAGTACATAACTTGTCCTGATTTTGATCTTGGCCTCTATAATTTCAAACTAAAAACTTTGGTCTTGTAAAATAGTTTTGGCATTGGTTAAAATATAAGGATTAATATTTTAAATGAAAAAATTTTGAGAAACAAAAACCTCTGATTTAAAATTATAGAAACCAAAATCAAATTAAAAAAATCATAACAACCAAACACTATATTAACCCTTGATTATATTTACATAAACTCACATTTGTTGCACACACCAACCAACATAGGACTCTTCTCTCCTATTTTCTGTCCCATTTCCTTTTATTAAATATTATCTCCGGTTCTAATTATAAGATCTTATTTGTAGACTACAAACGAGGTCTTATAATTAGAATTTACAAACAAGATTTTATAATTAGAACTGGGATAGCAGCAATTATTGGAATCGTTTGGTATTGCTCTTGAAGGCTCAAGAAAAAGAATTAGATAAAATTTTGATTAATGACTTATTTTAAATCTATATATTTGGTACAACGTTAAAAAAATGAACATTTTTCTTGCCATGCCTTAATCTATTCGCTTCCTTTAAGAGTTTGTATGGACTTAAGAGAATTATTTGGATATCTCCAAAAACACTTTTAAAAGTATTTTTATATAATTCGAGACAAAATTTCTTCCACATACTTGCTTTGTATACTGTAAAATTACTCTTAAAAAATTATATTTTAGGTTTTACCCAAACACCTCTTAAATCAATCTCATTATAGCCTTAGCAGAGTAGATTAGATTATCTTAGACTTTTAAATTGCCATCAAATTTTGATAAAATTTGTATATTATTATCAAATGTAGAAAGATGAAGAGATGTAAACAAAACAATAGATATTCTTCACATTTACTTGGACATATATTTAGTTTTTTTTTGGCCAAAGTTGGATATGCGTCTAGTAATTAATATATACAGTATATTAATAAAAAAAAGGTTAGAAAATATTTCAGGCTTCTTTATATATAACCAATTAGTTGAGATTACTACATACATCTCGCCGGAATTTAAAGAAGGAAAAAAAGAAAAAAGAAACGAGTCCATGCATTGTTGTTCTGTTCATTCTCACGCAATAATGGCTGAACCGCGAAAGGCATGCACGTTAGCCAGAATTTTTTGAAATTTATCCAAAGAACAGATTAATTAAAGGACAATCTGGACTGTGAATCTGATTAATTAAAATGTTTGCGTGCAGGATTATATTATAGTGTGCCAAATCAGCAAGTGGACAAACACGATAACCCTCCAGTTTTGAATTAATGATTCTTATTTAATGTATGGTCTTGTTAGATCTTCATGCATGAATCTCATTAATTAATTCCAAGTATTGAAGAACCCTTTTATCAGTTATCATAGATCTAGACCATGTGCAACGAATTTTTCATATTGAAATCACCTCTGTGTCATCATATATTCGGTAAAATCAGGTCATTAATTAACTGCCTGCTTTCATGCTAAATAACAAATGACGTAGTTGACAAGATAAAATTATATTTTGCTTCTCAATTTTGAAAC